TTTTTTTACTTTTTTTTTAAAAAAATATTTCTAAATTTAGTTGTAAATACTTTTAAAAATAATTTTAGATTATATAAAAGTTTTAAAAAAAATATTAAAAGTACAAATAAAAAAAATACTTCTAGATATGAATGTATCTATAAATTTTACTTAAGTAATTTTTTTAATATATTATGAAAGATATAACATTGAAAAAAATTGATTAATTATAGAAATCCTCAAAATTTTGATCTTATTCTATAAAAATTCTTTCGCATGCTAATCTTTGGCTCCTTCATACTTATAGTGATAAAAAAATTATGCTTATATATAAAGTTGATCTAATTACACTTGTTTTTATTTACTTAAAAATTTCTTTGCATAAACATTAGACCTCATTGCTCATTTCTTCTTTGGATATAGGAATAGTGTCAAGGACATGAATCTTAAAAAAAAAACTCAATACATTCTTATGTCACTCAAAAAGATTAGAAAATCACTCAAAGATGGCAATATATTGAATTAGAATGTCTATTATTAAAAAAAAAGACTAAAAAGTCTTAAAATAAGACTAAAAATTAAAAAGGTGTTAATAAGAGTGAAGAAGGCTTGACTCATGCCTCTATATCTATTATCTAATATGTGTTGATAAGAGCTAATTAGTAATAATCTATAGGACCTCTAACATGTTGTCATGTTGTGACATGATTATATGGTGAAAATATGACTAAAAATAATTTTTTAATTAATATTCTATTATAGTAGTTCAACAAAAATTCAAAATATTTTAATAATGCTTTTATGATTGTCTCTTAGCCTATTTTCTTGTCTTAATAGCAAGTAGATAAAAGTAAGTTAGTATTTTTACCTTCTACGATATAAAAACTCTTTTACTACCTTAGAAAGGCCATAAATTGATAAAATTAGGATAGAAGAGATAAATAGTTGATATAGTTGATACTAGGGTCAAGTTGAGGATAGGATTGGACTAAAAAATCCTTATGATAAGTTATATTGATACTCAGGGGTTGACCATTTGTGAGACAAGGTCAAAATCAAACCTCTAGTCACTAAAAAAACCACATAGGGCAAATTAGGGATTCATTCAAAGATCGGAGATTAAAATTTGAGAGCTAGCTTGAAGCTCTTTTCAAAGGCATAAAAATTGTTTTGGTAAGATTTTTGAAGACTTCATAATTTTTGTTCAAAATCATGGTTTGTATTGATGATTTGGGTTTTATATAATATAATTAAGACTAGCAATTTTGGCTAGTTCGTACAAATGGTGTAACATCTATGGTTTAAAATTTGGTATTATTTGGAATATTAGGTGTGCTAAATGTATACAAAATTTTATAATAATCTAACAATGTAGTTTAGAGATATTTGGTTTTTAGCACAAGAGGATTTTAGAAGTTGGCAATTTGGGGTTGGATAGGGTTTCTATGATATCTAAAGATCTGCCATTAGATCAAGGTGAAATTTGGCATAGTGTTGAAGAACTTGAGGATCAAGCTGTATATCAATTTTGAATTGAAGTTAACGATTAGAGAAGGAGAAATCACCAGTGGAACTTTTGCTTCACCTTTCAAGTTAGTCGCTGAGTGACATCAATGTAGTTTTTGGAAGTTCTCTCACAATTTATAAGTTGGATTGGGCTGAAATTTCTTAAGCATATAGAAGACTTACATTGACAATTGCATGCAAAATTTCACATCAAGTAGATAGTCAGATTAGAAGTTACTACTTGTCAAAACTCACTTATTAGAGTTAGGACTTACAAGAAAAATCTAAATTGCTTAAATATGAAAGTAATGAGGTAATTGGGATTTATGTATGATTAAGACTATTAAGAAGAGTGTTTTTTAGCACTTTTGAATTGAAATTTAGATTATATTCTTGTCATATGGATGAAACCTATTAGGGTTTCTTAAATACTTGTGAAACACAACGTTACCTTCCATAGCTAGGTGCTTGGTGCATTCTTAAACAAGACAACACATAATATGACAACGTTATTGTGTTGTGGTTTTGCTACTACATAAAAATAATGTAATTATATACTTAATATATAATTCATTAAGTAACATGGTGAGAGCCATATTAGTAGATTTTACTTGGTTGTAGAATATAATTTGATTATTACCTTAAGAAGAGGTTGTTTAAAAAGATTACTATATAATTTGTATAATTTTAATTTCCTTTTGATAGTGGCTTTTAAGATTGGTTTTGGTTGATAGTAACTTCTAAATATTTAGAATCACCTTTGTTAGACATTGGTGACCTTTGAAAACTTTTTTTGGTTCTTTTATTTGGTGTTTAGAGCATAAATTATGTAAATCTTATAAGAAAAAGAGTTGAAGAAGGATTTTGGTAGCAAAGAGAGTAATTAGGGCACCAATATAGATGAATGGAGATGAATAATGAAAATCTCCATTCCTATTGGTCAAACATCATGACCAATGGACTTTGAGGAGGTTGCTCGAGGACATATTAGAGATTAGGGTTAGTTTCTTGAGGCCATTTGAGTTTTGAAGGCTAGGATTAGAAGGTTTAGGTTTTTGGCTATGGTTTTGGTACAGGATTTGTATGGTTTGGATTTTATATGAAGGAGATACAAGCGCTCAAAGTTAAGGTGTTGATTTGGGAGCTACTGTCACTCTTTTTGGCATAACACACGCGTACAGACATCAATTGAGGATCAGCGACTACGACTGGAGAGAGAACTTTTGCTTACTAGATTCTAAGTTGAAATGAAGGAGTTATTGGATTTTGAAGTCAGTGCATGCAATCTAAGGGTAGTAAGTAACCTAATTTGCTAGTGGTTGTCTCTTGAGCTATATCTTGAGCAATTTGAGAAGGTTTTGGCTCAAAATTTTAGAAAATGTGTAATTTAATGTTAGTAAACTTTGTGCATAAGATTTATGATATTTGAGTATTAGATTCTTGAGATATTAAGAAAATAGTGTTCAGGTGCTTATAAATTAGGGTTTAGAGCATCTGCTAGGGTTTCTTAGATGCCAGAAGATTGGGAGTGAATTTGAAGTTAGTTTTTTTTTGTAATAAAAGTTAAGGGTGAATTCTACCTATCTTGTAAATTTGAGATAAATTAAATGGTTAGATCAAGAGTTATGATTTTCTAAAGTTCAGGATAAGAAAATCCTTCGTGGAAAAAATATGTTTTGAAGGGGTTTTGTTATATTTTGAGTTTTATGCAAAAATAAAGGAGTTTTGGGAGGCTAATACAAGATTCATATAAAGATTTAAGCTACACTCTCTACAACTAGATACCTAGTGTATTCCCAAATAGCAAATCACGCCATATGACAACGTGTTGACTTTGCAAGATACATATCTTAACTTTCAAAGTAAATTTTCTATATGTGCACCATATACTTAACTTATGCCATAAGCTACCAACATATGTGACATATGGTTAATTTGTTGATTAAGTTTCTAACCTACCAATCAATTATAAAAATATGTAAAGTCAAAACTACATCTATGAAGCTTTTAGGAAGCTTCTCTAGAAGATGTTGTAAAATTAATCTACTTTTATTTATTTTTACCTAATCATATAGGTATTTATTGGAATAAATACAAATGTCTATGACAAGTAGTACTTTTATAGTTGAAATTACTAATGCATGAGATTTTTGCTTTAAGAATATTAAAAAACTTATAAATATTTATAATTATTGTATACTTATTTTTACTTCTATCAAGTATAGCATCCATAGTTTGTTTTCTTTCTGGTTTATAATATATGACATTAATAAATCTACAAGTCAAATTAAAAGAGAATAATCTACAATCTCAAATATCAAATAAAATTTTCTACAAAAAATGGTAGTCTATTCTTTTTTAAATAATATTAAGAAATAAAAAAAAAATTCAAGGTGGATAATATATAATATATAAAAATAAAACAATACACTTCAAAAAGTAAGATGATCAATTTATTTCTTACATAAAACAAATACAACTAATTAGTATTCTTGAAAAATTGTCAAAGACATAAACCATGAGATAACTTTAAAGATATAATATATTTTTATATTATTAAAAGAGTGAAAATGGACAAATCAAAAACAGATTTGAGATTGAAACTATAATGGATATTGCTAAATACAAAGAGATTAGAAAGTCCTCAACTAAGATTAAAAGACTAATGTAATATTTTTATTACTATTATATTATAAATAAATTAAACAAAGTATTTTTACTTCTAAAAATTAGAACTTGATATATATATATATATATATATATATATTTGTAGAGACATATCAAAAAAATTGCTTATTATATTTTTATAATATCTAATATGCTTATAAAAGAATATTTTATTTTATATTTTTTTAATCTTTTGTCCAAATTTTTATGAATAATTTTATATTTTTTTACATTTTATTTTTTTCACAATTATATCTTTTAATAGGCATATTTTAAAATCAAATATTCTATAGATTTTAAATCTTAATTATACATAATAATTTAGCTTCTTAATATGTATATATATATATATATATATATATATATATATATATATATATTTTAGTAAAATTATTATTAAAGTAAATAAGCTTTATTTTGTATAGATGCAATTTTAATTGCAAAATTTAAAATATAATTATATATTTCAATAATACTATGAATTAAACAAATATTTTTAAACTATTAAAAAATATTTTTTACACCAAATAAATATAATATAACACAAATGTAGTGTTGAATCTCAGCTGTAAAATCTCAACTATGCTTGGTGAACTTTGATACAAAGTATATCCACAATATTCAACCACTTTGGGACAAGCCCCACCTCCCCCCCCCCCCTCCAGGACACTGAGGGATGGACGAAGAGTGAATGGACGCAGATCATCCAACGGACAGAGTAAAGGGAACATCCACCCACCCACCCACCCACCCACCCATCCATCCATCCACTCATTCATCCACACCGCGCTCGCAGCGAGCTCGGTGCCGCGAAGGGAAATGAGAAATGAGAGATGCGTGTGCGTGAGAGAGAGTGTGTAAGTCTGTCAGTCTGTCTGTCTTGCGTTGTCGATGCGGAGGAGGAGGAGGAGGAGGAGGATGATGATTCTTCTCTCCTCGCCCCCCTTTTTCAGGTGATCCATTGCAGCCCAATTTTTCTGTGGTAATCCTGCGGATGAGCTATCTCCCCCTACCCTCGCCCCACCCCCTTTGCCGCGAAAATTCGCATCCTACAGATCACCCTGCTGTCTTTTTGAGCAGCGATGTCGACCAGCACTTGGCTATGCGAGTAAGTTTTCGGGCCGTTCCTTGGATATCAGCTGGCGATGAATTCCTGAGTCTGCTCTCACAACCGTTGATCTTGCCCAGTTTGGCCTTCAGCTGAGCTCTCCTCTACCCATGGCGCAGTCTATGGCGTCGCCATCGACGGTTTCCTCTGCAACCTTGCCCCTGCAGCTGAGTGGTGGGGAGGTCTTTTCACGCTGCGGAGGTCGTGGATTTGCAGCTCCATCCCCAACGCTCAAGCATCACGGTCATGTCGTCGCTGTTGCTAACAGCACGGCGTCTGCTGCTCGGGGAGGGAACTGGGTAATCAACCAATGCTCACAATTTCAGCAGCAGGTATTGAAATGGCTCCCTTCTTTTCGTATTTTGTAACCTTCGTGTATGTTGTGGGTGGTCATACAGCTCCAAGGAAATATGAGTCGTGAAGTTAGTATTGTTTTTTATCTTTTCTTTTCTTCTTCGCTGCTCAAACCCGGTTTTGAATTTGACCTTGGAAACTAGTAACCGGAATTTTTCTCTCTTTGGGATTAGACTAGCTACTCTAGCCAAGAAGACAAGTGGATTGCTAAAGGGTGGTTACTCGGAGCCCTTGGACACCTTCAGCAGGTGTTTGGTATAGGGAGTGGTGGTGATTTCATAACTCTTTATCCGTCTTAGGCTTTAGCGGCTATGTCGAGATACATTCAATGCAGGGGAATCGACCATTGCTGTGGATTTTTGTTTCATTGTTCAAGCTGGTCATCCGAATTTTTGTCACACTATGGTTTCACGTGCTCTGTGTCTGTCATGCTCGCGACTAGTTTCGTAACGTTCTCTTTTTCTTTGTCCGCAGATGGGTTTTCTTGCGTCTAAAAGCACTACCCCAATCAACTGCAAGCGTGTCGCTGGAGTTGCAAGCATATCCGATATTTTCAGTTTTGTCTCGGGAGGCGGGAATAAAGGATTTGGTGGATGGGGGTTTGGCGGAGGCGGGGGCGGAGGAGGGGATGGGTCTGCCGTGCCAGCTGCGGGCGAGACCTTGTTTGCAACATCTGACGATGAAGCATTGATCTTAATTACAGAAGATGTCATCTATCTTCAAGTTGGAGTAAATCGATCCCTGAACCCCTTTTTCCTGTACCATTGTAGAACTTGCACGTCGTTTTTTTCATTCCTCTTTTGTATTTTCGTTCTGGACAGAAGGGCCACTGTTTTCTTGCCACTGATAGTTTAGCATTGTCCTGGTACTTGCAGGGGATGTCTTGTGGAGGCTGCTCTGGAAAGGTTAAAAGGATACTAGAAGCTCAGGTATTTTCTTACAATTTCTATCTTAATTCATAATGGTTCCTGAATTTAGTTGTTCGATATTTGAACAAAATGAAGATGAAGGTTAAGACCTAAGTTAAGCAGATAAATTGATTCATCTTTCCTACGACTAGGACAAGCCTCCAAAACTGTTGTGTATATATCAACTTGAATATTCGCAACACAAAGGAAAGTGATGCCTCTTTTAACAGCTAGGTTTTGATATGTTGGTGTTTGCAATGCCAGCCACAAGTGAAAGAAGCAACTGTAGATTTAGCGGCAAAAACGGCAGCAGTGCAAGTAATTACGGATCCTGTCGATTCAAATGAGTGGGAGTCTATCAAGCGTCAACTTGGTGAATCCTTGGCTGAGCATCTGACTAGTTGCGGCTTCAACTCCAGTCTCCGAGGTATGTTCAAACCTGGATACCGCCATGCAAGGTGGCTATGGGGAAGACTTGAATTCCCCCACTTTAACAAGTAACTGTGCCTCAATCACTTATAAACCAGGGTTTGAATCTTTTATATAAATCAATAATACACAGGAAAGAAGGGAGAAGCAAAAGATTCGACTTGGTCACTATCGGCATGTGAAGTTTGTGTAGAACACAACCTACTTGCTTTACTCATTCTTGAGCATCTCTGTGTGCAGAGCAAGAAGGTGCCACTATAGCATCCACAGCCTGACTTCAAAGAATCATCTGAAGACATCTGCATTTCTTCCAAGCCAAATGCTGTCAAACAGAGTTCATAACATGTGATTGTAGCTAGATGATGCTCTCGCTTTCGCGCGAGGTGTAGTTTTTCTCACATGGTTGCGGTAACCAATTCATTTCAGTGTCATGCATTGAGTAGTTCACTAGGAACACTGCATCTCAAGCCACAATCCTCAAGTGTTGTAGTCGTTGAGGCATTGTGTGATAACATCTGCGGCCGTGGTTTAGAAGAGTACGTATGGATAGGAACTTCCCTGGAGAATGACATCGCTTGGTATGACACCTACTGTCATCCTGTTAAACGCGGATGGCAAACCGCAGTCCATTTGTCAATACATTCAGCTTACACACCAGCCTTGCAAAGTTTACTTTTATCACGAAATGGTGAAAATCACTTGCCTTTGTCAGTGGAATGACATTACGGGATCTTTTACGAATATTTTCGTGCTCTCCCTACCAAACCATTTGGTGGGGTTTTTATATTTTTACATACATCTATCGTATCATGTCGTAAAGGATTACATGTCTCAAAAGATGCGAAAAAATGTGTCAAAGTGAGGGAAGCGGAATCTCGATGAATCCTAACAGGGACCTGGAACAATTTCCGTGGAGATTACCTGGACTCGAGCCTACAAATCTTCCGAAGATTAAACGCAGCGAATGCAAACAGTTATCTCGTTTGACCATCCCTGGCGCCTCTTGTTCCCGATGCACAATAAACAAATGATATGAATCTCACACGAGCGAGGACAATCATCTGGAGAATTCAAGGTTCTGTTGTACTGTCTACTCAGCAATGTACTATCGAAGATTCATAACCTTGTCAACTGTTTCTTGGAGGCTGCGACGTTTGTTGCCGTAAGTGGAACCGATCGATTAGTTGCATCCATACTGTTTGATCACTCTGTAGCACCTCGATTTAATGGGCGGTGCAGTAAGTCGGCGGAGTTTTTGGTGAGGAGCAAGCTATTTACGAAGTTGAAGTGTTGATCGTTGTTAAGTGGTGTGAGAATCCCGTCGCGGATTCGATGTGTGGGTAATCTTCGGAATATTTGTAAGCCTGGCGATGAGTCCCTGCGCGGGGACATGCCAGTGCAGAGCAGCTGCGAAAGGGCCGGCTTCGGCCATAGCTGCTCTGCGCTTGGCGCGTTCTGTGGCGCTGCCGTCGATGCTCTTCTCGGAAATTCTCTTTGGGAAGCGAGTAGTTCCGGTGCACTTGAAAATCGCACGATGGCCCCTTCAGTTGGGTGCTGCTCGAATTGTGTCCAATGGAGCCTTGTTTAGGGCATCCTCAGGCATCCCTGAGCAGAATCGTCAACAGCCTGGTCTTGCGGTCTCCGGCAAATTGCCTCTTCGACAAGGCTCTAAGTGGCTCAATGGTCAAGGCCCAAATTTGTGGCAACTACAGGTATTATGAAAGCTCTTCAAATCTTTAGTACGGAGAGCTTAGCGTTCACTAAATCCTAGACTTGCTTGAAGATTGCTATTGCTCATCCAAGTACATGAAGATGTCAATCTCAGGCTGGTCGATCCAGTTAAGGATGAATACATTTAATCTATTACGACGATTGATTTGAACTATCATCCTGTTCCGGATTCAAACATTGATGCTCAGCTCGACGAAGATGGCATTCTTGTAGCAAGTCAACTAGGATACAAGTGGCGGCACATGGTTTTTCGCTACATTTTTATTATTGAATGCTTCTGTTGAGTTTATCTTTCTCGATTCCTGTCACTGGTAAGGATTTTCTCTTGAGATCCCGCATCGTCCAGAACTAATAGTCCAGAACTAAGCGTTGTAGACGAATCACTTATGTATCAGGATTATTTTGCTTCGAGATTGCATATGCTCTAAGATATTGAATTGGAGGATTGAGGCTCTTCATTGCTGACATGGTTTTTTTCGTTTGTCTTAGTTGGGGTTGCTTGCAGCAAGAAGTAACAGGCCTTGTCGCTGCCAGAGCAAACTTGGTAATGGAAACATTTCTAAGGCTCTCAGTACTAGCACGGGAGGTGGAGGTAGTGATGGTTTTTTTGCGCCAGCCGCAGGCGATGCCTCAAATGTGGCATTTGGCACTGAAGTATTAGCACCTCATGCGGAGGATGTATTCGTTCTGGATGTTGGAGTGAGTAGCTTTATTAAAAAAAATCTCAAACCCCTCCACTTGCACTTGTTCTGTGCATCTGAACATAAATTGATACTTTTCGAAATCATCACCAAGTGAGCCATTCTCTTGTGTATTGTGGAAAGTTTTATTCTGGTCAATGATCTCTGATTATCAATACTATATCTTGTATATGCAGGGAATGTCGTGTGGTGGTTGTGCTTCTTCTGTGAAAAGGATATTGGAATTACAAGTACTTCCTCTCATTCTTGTTCTATTTCACATATATGTGAGAAAGTATATATGAATCTCCATCAAGTGTTTGCTGTATTCTTAGATACCACTCGAGAAACAGTCTTAACCTTTACTTAAATCTAGTATTAAAGTGGATTGGTGGTGCTACCATTGGTAGCCACAAGTGACAGGAGTAGCTGTCAACTTAGCGACGGAGACTGCACAAGTAAAAGTAACCTCGGAGTCTGTGGGGAAAAATGGATGGGAAAAGATTAAGCGTCGACTTGCGGAATCTTTAGCTAATCACTTGACGAGTTGCGGTTACAAATCTTGCCCTCGAGAAGGTATGATCGTTATGTCTAAGAATATTTGAAAGCAGTTACATATTCTGCCACCTTCTCCGCTGTTACCCTGTCATTGAGTAGTTCAAGTGTTGTTCAGGCAATACAGGAAGCAACTGTACGAGGATCTTTTTCGGTCAGCATGAATGTACTGCACATTCTTCAATCCGAAGTGAATCTTTTTGTTAAGAATGCTTGGTAAAGCTTTATTTCTTATTGAGTATTCTTGTTTCCAGAGCAAGCCGAGAAGGGTAGAGGTGTGGCTTTGCCTGCGGCACTTCGTAAACGTGAAGAAAGACTCGCTAAGCTGAAAGACAGTGGTATTTTGCACATGTTCAACTGCTATGTTTGGTTCCTTTTGTGAAATTAAGTAATAAAATGATGATCTTTATGTTCTGTAAGAGTTGTATATTCTCTGTATGTGTAGGACTTCCTATCTATTTTTTGTATTCCATCGTATAGTTGGAGTTGGGACATTCTTGTGGACCAAATTATTTGCGCTATATTTTTCTTTAGTAGGAGTGGTTTCCCAACTGAATTAGTGTGCTTGTTTCCAATGGTTGCATTGTTGTTAACTATCTGCACCTGGTTTTTACCTGTTTGGCTTCATAAGCTTGTTGGGTGAATATTGGTACAGGACGAAGGCTAGCAGTTGCATGGACTCTTGCTGCATTTTGCTTGGTGGGCCACAGTCATCATTTTATTGGGCAATTAGATCCATCATGGCTTCATATGTTACACTCCACTGGATTCCACGCAGCTTTGTCACTGGTTGCTTTGATTGGACCTGGACGCAAGCTATTAGTGGATGGGTGGAAGAGCCTTTGGAGGGGATCGCCCAATATGAATACCCTTGTTGGACTGGGAGCAGTGTCATCATTCGCTGTTAGCACTGCTGCAACTCTATTACCCAAATTGGTATAATTCTTGTGCTGTAGCTCACGCTTTCTAACCGTTTGATTAACACTTTAATTTAGTCATCTTTTGTAGTAGTGCATATCGTATGTGCTTGCACTATCTGCTATTTCCGAGAACCTAAGCAGATGTTTCAAAATGCCAGTTCAGAATTTGTTTGTATTTTGCATTGCGACTTAATCGAAGCATTGCTGTTTGGTCAATGTTCATTCAGGGATGGCAAGCATTTTTTGAGGAGCCAGTGATGCTCCTAGCATTTGTGCTACTGGGAAGAGCAGTGGAGGAGAGAGCAAAGCTTCAGTCTAGTAGTGATATGACTGTCCTTCTTAACGTGTTGCCCTCAGAAGCACGCCTACTCATAGGGCAAGACAACGATGGCCATCCAACTACTATGAATGTTCCCTGTGATAGTCTATCAATTGGAGACGCAGTTGTTGTGTTGCCTGGGGTATGCTTTTCTAAGCACTGAAGAGAGTGAAGTTTTTAATGGTGATTTTATACTGTGGTTTTATCCTATTTTATCATTTAGCGATTTAATCTTTTATGCTCCTTAGAGGTATTGCTTGTAGTGTTCACTTACAGGTAGTGGCAGTTTCGCATCTACGATAGTGTTGTGCTTTTCGTAGGACAGAATTGCTACATGTGGTACTCACAAGTGTGTCATAACAGGATCGAATTCCAGTTGATGGTGTGGTCAAGTCAGGAAAGAGCACCGTCGACGAGTCCAGTCTTACAGGAGAGCCCCTGCCTGTTTTGAAACAATTTAGAGTAAGTAATTTTCCTTTTTGTTTTCCTTTTTAATAAGAATAATAATAATAATAATAATAATAATAAAGAATTCATAACTGTCTTTGGCCTGTTTGTGTTACTTGTTCTTTGGACTGTAGTGTATCCTCTCCTTTATGAAGGGCAATGTTGAACCTCATGTTCTTGCTACAATCAAAATCATTTAATTTTACGCTGTGCGTTTATTCAGAAGTCTCCGCTAAATATAGAACATGTATATCTAAGGTCCAATAGAGCTTATTCTGTATGTTTTGCTCCTTAAGGATGAAGTCACAGCTGGAACTGTCAATCATAATGGCACTATTACAGTTCAAGCAAAAAGAGCCGGTGGTGATACCGTTATGAATGATATTATTCGTATGGTGGAGGACGCTCAGACAAGAGAAGCTCCTGTGCAACGGCTTGCTGACAAGGTAAATCTGATTACTTGATTGATTGAACTTAGTTCAAGCCAACTCAATCACTGGAGCATTTCATCCTTTGACCAAATGAAGAAGTGAGGTACAAGTCACATGAGTTGTGAAGAAGGTTTTTCAAGATGGTTATCGTTTCAAACCTCTTTAGCTGTAGTACTAATCGTATAATGATGCATTCCCTCTTATTTTCTCTTGAAGTGGGCTGTTCGTGTGACATCAAACCATGATAGTTACCTTAAATGCTTTGCGCAGCTTACAAGGGTCTCTCTTTTTCTTATAGGTTGTGTGGTATTTCTTCGCATTTCTGGCTCTTATTTTTGCATGAGGTAGTCATTTGAAATTAGTTTTATTGATAACATGTACCGCGTGCAGGTTGCAGGTCGATTTTGTTATGGGGTCATGGCACTCTCCGGAGCTACATTTGTCTTTTGGACCATGTTTGGACCTGTGTTATTCCCAGCAGTTGTGCCAACTGGTGGGCCATTATTGCTTGGCTTTCAGTTGGCGTGTAATGTTTTGGTATTGAAGCTCGCCAACCTTTGCTGACCTTGGCTAAAAATTGCTAACATCTCTACACAGTTGTTCTGAGAACTGTGTAGAAATGTTTAAAACCATTCTTATTCCGGGTAGTGTTTTAGTAATTGAAGCTAGCAATCCAATGCACTGGATTGGAATGAAAATCCTTTTGACGAGATTGTTAATTGCACTTTTTGACGATATTGTTGATAGATCACCGTTCAGGCTGTTTGGAGCGTTATGATTTCTTATTGTTTGATTTGAGTCACATTAAATGAGCAGGGTTTTCATTTGATCATATTTTGTGCCGTCGATTTTCAGGTCATTGCCTGCCCTTGTGCCCTTGGACTTGCGACTCCAACAGCCGTTCTGGTATGCAATTAGCAGGGATATGCATTTGATCCTGTGCGTGAAATTTTATGTAATTGAAACGTCCAAGTCTTAACAATCCTAGTATTCTTGGGCTATGGCTGGATCATGGACCATGAATTACAATGAGCGACTTACGAAGAACATAATCTGAAAAGCGCAGACAAGAATTTATAAGGTCGAAGTGTGAGAAAGCATATTATGTTTATATCGCTTATGAAAATTCTATTGCGTGTATGTTGCATGCATTGTTGATGGCAGTCATGTTTTTTCACCAGGTTGGTACATCCCTGGGGGCACGGAGAGGTCTGCTTATAAGGGGCGGAGACGTTTTGGAAAAAGTGTCATCTATTGATACTATTGTGTTTGACAAGACGGGGACGCTTACAGTTGGTCGGCCTGTTGTCAAGAACGTGATTTGCAACAGTAGCACGTGGTCTGAAAAAGAGTTACTGGCATTTGCTGCTGGTGTGGAGAGAGCAACATCTCACCCCATTGCTAAAGCACTAGTGCAGGCAGCTACAAGTTATGGTTGCCGTCAAGCAGTGGTATGTGCATATATGGTGGCATGTATTTGACTTCGAGTGAAGCGCTGCTTCTATACTTCTCTGTTTCTTTGATCCGATATCTCTTATTGCTTTACTCAGTTATTTGTACATTGTGCAGGCCGAAGAGTCTACGTTTGAGCAGGAACCAGGCAGTGGAGCAAAAGCTATTATTGAAGGAAAGCTTGTATCTGTAGGCACGTTAGAATGGCTACAAAGGTATGTCACAGTTGCGTTTCCGTTGCGAACGGTCTTGAAGCCTGAGATTTGTTACTTACCGATTGAATCTACAATCCTTTCTTACTGCCTTTTATCTCAATTCGAACCGAGGAAAGTAGAGTGCCAACTCATTGGTTGACTTTGCTTTCTATAGATCTGGAGTGGAAAGAGTACCTCCGGAATTTACAGGGGCTGCGACGCAAGGGCAGACTGTTGTCTATGTGGGTGAGTTCACATTAATTCTAATTCGAAGATTTGAGTCCTTTTAGTCTGTACCAGTGCTCTAAGTGGCTCAATTTTTTATTTTGTCTTGTAGGGTTTGTAAATGACTGGCCCAAGAATTGGTTCTTGAATCTTTGAAATGAGTTCGGCAATATATGTATGGGCAGTCCTACTTGGCTTATTATGTTCTTTCTGATAGGTGTGGATGATAAGGTCGTGGGAGCTATCACAATGATCGATGAAGTGAGGGACGATGCAAAGGCTACCATTGAAACCCTTCATTGGATGGGCATTAAAACGTCTATACTGTCCGGGGACAAACTGGAGGCTGCTAAAGCTGTAGCTGCGAAAGTGGGCATCGATTGGAATAAGGTTTGCCACTGCATTGACCTCCAGCATCTTCAGTATTGATTTAATGATTAAGGTTGCATTCTCATCTTGCCTCTCCAGATAAATCTCCCGCCTAATATGTGTGCTCGATATTGTAGTTGTTATTATTAATTCTGAATGCAATGTTTTAGGTCTATGCTGGAGTGAAGCCGTCTGAAAAAGAAGACTTTATAAGACAATTACAATCGGAGAAAAGATTCGTGGCAATGGTTGGGGATGGTGTGAATGATGCTGCAGCATTAGCTCAAGCTCAAGTTGGTATTGCTATGGCAGGTGGAGTTGGAGCAGCTAGTGAAGTTGCATCAATAGTTCTTATGGGAGACAAACTGAGTCAGGTTTGTGAAATAGTTTGTGAGGTTTTACTTCGTCTCCAACGTCTACTTTGAGTGTCTGCAAAATTGGCGTCTTTTACATGCTCTTAGTGAAATCTTACATTGCGTTCTGTATCCAGGTCTGATCTTGTTGCTGTCAGTTCTCTTTTTATGCAATGCTTAAAAAATGCCTTCCCAGGTTACAACTATGAGATTGTGCAGGTTGTTGATGCTATCGAATTGAGCCGGTTAACGCTTAAGAAAATCAAGCAGAATCTTTGGTGGGCATTCATATACAACATTGTAAGTCAATACATCTGCAATTCTATACATTGTTGGTCATTCCTATCCACAAGGATGTAAGTATGGCAGTTGGTATGGAAATTTCGTTTGATTCTTAAAGACTGCATGGAGTTCTGTTTGTGTTCTTTTGGGCTTCCGCATATGATCCAAGGACAAACCGAATATTTAATTCTGACTTGGCGTGCTTCATAGAATGGTCGGCCTCGAAAACAATTGATTTAAACACGAGTTTAAGCAACTCTAATTTCCGTGTTTTCTTTTATACCAGGTGGGACTACCACTCGCTGCAGGTGCTCTGCTGCCTTCAGCCAATATAATGCTTACTCCATCAATTGCGGGTGCACTCATGGGTATAAGCTCTTTGGGTGTCATGGCAAATTCATTGCTGCTCCAGCTGGAATTTTCACGGCCTTCTTCCAATATGAAAAATTCTTTGAGCTCCTCACGGAGGTCAGCAGATCCATCACAGCATGTTGCATCCATACCAAACGGAAATTCTACTCAACAGGAGTTTGAACGATCTCAAGACGAAGACGTTGAGTTGGGATTGGATTCCCTGGAACGAAGTGCCAAGTATTTTCACTGATCTCATAGCAACCTGGTCTTAATCCTTGGTAGGTGTATCTAGCATCTCACATGTGAGATATCAGACGGTTCTTTATCTTAATTTTCCAAATAAATTTTGTATTAATATGGAATAATAAAAAGACTACAGAAATAAATAGTAAAAAAAATATTTTAATAATATTACTATAATATTTTCATTATTTTGAATATCAAATTTAGAATTTTTCACGTAGAGATCTTCAAAATTAAAATTAATTAAAAGAATGAAATTATAATTTGAAGATTTCATTCAAATAATTTTATAATCTTTAAAAATATAAAACTATTTTTTGAGTTGACAAGTATAAAGAACTTCAAAACTTTATTGTAAAAAACATAACCATGGTTTAATTTTTTTATAGTTTTGTATATACCTGTAAATTAAAATATCGCACTTGTAAAAATATATTATTAATTTCATGAAAGATGTATATTTAATAATACATGAGGATTTAACAACATGGTTCAATCAAATTTTGTTAAGAGATCTGAATTTAAATATCTTTCCCACTATGAACATTTAAATTCTATGTATTAATAGAACCACAAAATAACCATCGTATTCAATATTAATGTATTATCATTGTCAATTAAATGTGAAACTATGGCATATTAATATGAAGTTTAATAAATAGTAAAACTTTTTTTTAATATTTTGGTATTATATTGTCATAAAATATCTATCATAATAGACATGACATTTTTATATCATGACATAAAAATTGATCTTGATTCTTCATATATATATATATATATATATTTATTTATTTTATAAATTTGTAAAAATTTGAATAAAGTAAAAATTATAAAAATAATAGAATATTATATATTTTAATATAGATCTATAAAGCCATTACATAAATGTCATATTTTAACTTTAATCATATTGAATTTGAATTTATTTTTGTAATTTATACTTTTTAAAAATCATACTTAACAACTTTTTTTTAGCATAAAACTTTGATAGATGTAATTGATAAGCAATAGGATTGACTTGTCTACAAATAGGAAAATGTCCAAGCCTATAATAGTCCAATTTCTCAGAAGGACAAGTAATCTTGATATTACGATGGAATAACCATACTTTATTTTTTACTTTGAATTGTTGTTCTTTACAATAGGCATCCACATTGATCTTTCATCGTTCTTGAGCTTCGTTTAATTATGCCTTTACTGTTGCATGTAACTCTGACAAATGATTTGTCAAATCTTCTGTCGCAAGATTATCACTTTTTGAAAGGTCAAAAGTATCAAGTCATGGATGATAACCATAATTGAAATATATATATATATATATATATATATATATATATTCAATAAAAGAATGTATTGAATTATTGTATGTAAACTCTACTAATAAAAAAAGAATTGGTTGATTATCTTAATGATAATTGATGATACATCTCAAATACTATTATAGAACTTAATTCACTTATTTTGTTTGTCCATCACTTTGAGGATGAACAATTAAAAAAAGCTTTATATCCACTTTTAAAATCTTGAAAAGGATTCTCCAAAATCTTGATATAAATTGAGTTGCCTTATTTGATATAATATCCTTGGACAATCCATGATAGTGATAGATGTTGTCAAAAAAAAGCTTAGTCGTTTCTTTACTTTCGATAGATTTTGAACATAATAAAAAATATTCTATCTTGATAAAATGATCTACTATCACAAATATAGAATCTTATAAACTTGAAATTAGAAGATTCGTGATAACAAATCCATAGAAATCAAAGTCTATAGTTATTCTGGAATAGATAATAGCTAAAGAATTCCATAAGATCGATGGTGAGGAGTTTTGGATCTTGAATAAATATTATATGATTGTATAAAGCCTATGATTGCCTTCCATATTTAAAGCCACCAAAAATCTCTTGATATTAGCTCCAAAGTCTTATTGTATCCAAAATATCTGACTGTTAGAAAGTCATTACGAATTTAAAGAACACATAATCATGTCCTACCATTTGAAATATATAATTGTCCCTTGAAATAGAATAGATTGTTCTTGAACACAAATTTGAAAGTATCATGAGACTTGAAAGAATTATTCTTGATATCGTAGATAAGACGATCAAAAGACATACTTAATTGAATTTACATGACAAAGGTTGAATCAACAATCAATGTTGATTTTATTGTTCAAAAGTGAAAATACTCTAGTTGGTGCAAGATAAGAATATCTAAAAAAGGCATCCAATAAACCTTATTATTTTTTAAGTCGATAAATAATCTTAAAATCAAATCTCGATAAAGAAATATTCCAACAAGCTTAGTGACAATTTAAAATATGTGTTGACATGAAATACTAGAAGTTCATGTAGTCTGTATACACAATGATTGGAATAAAAGTGCCTTCTAGATAATGATACCATTTTTAAAATGAAACCACAATTATGAAGAGCTTTTTGTCAAGGATCTTATAATTAATCTCAACTACTAAAAATATTTTGAAATAAAAAGCTATTAAATGGAGTTTGTTATCTGCTCCTATTTATCACAATATTACATCTAAGGCAAATTCTAATGCATCTATTTCCATGAAAAATACCTTGGTAAAGATAATAGAATATAATATTGGTACAAAAATAAATTCTTTTTTTAAAGCATCAAACAATGCTTTGGCTTCTTTACTCCACTTAAATTTGTCTTTACAAGTCAAACATGTAAGTAGAGTTACAACTTGAAAAAAATTCTTCATAAAGATCCAAAAGTAATTAGCAAAGCTCAAAAAGCATTACACATCTCTTACTATTCTTGAAATCTTTCAATCCATGATATTCTAAACGTTCTTTGGATCCATCATTAGTCTTTTGTTTGAAATGATGTATCCTAAGAAGTCAACTTAAGTAGTGTAGAATACTCACTTTTCTAACTTGGCATATAATCCTAAATCTCTAAGTTTTTTTAATACATGACAAACATAAACTTCATATTTTTTTGTGTTCTTAGAGTAGATTAAGATGTCGTCTAAATAATAGATGATAAAATCATCAAGAAATTCAAGAAAAATATCATTTATTAGATGTTGAAAAGTAGCTAATACATTCATGAGACCAAAAGGCATGACATTATATTCAAAATGGCCATATTTGGTTTGAAACATAGTTTTCCATTCATTTCTTTCTTTAATATGTACCAAATTATATGCTTCTCGTAGATCTATTTTTGTATAGATCTTTGCTTCATTGAATTGATAAAGAAGTCTTCAAATCAAAGATAGAAGATACTTATTCTTGATGTTGATTTTTTTGAGTCTTTGATATTCTACACATATTTACAAAGATCTATCTTTTTTCTTCACAAATAAGATAAAAGCCTCAGTTAGAGATTTAGAATGGCATATGAAATTCTTAGCCAAATTTTCATCAATGTATTCTTTAAGTATAACCAACTTGTTTTATGATAGATTATAGATTGGTCCAAATGGTGGTTGAGCTTATGCTTGAAGATCGATAGAACAATCATAAGGACTGTGCTTTAGAAGAATATGTACATTCTTCTTTTCAAAAATATTTTGCATATCTTAATATTGACTAGGAATATTTCTTGACATCTTTCTACCATCAAAATTAGGCATGGAAAATATAATAAAAGATGATCCTTCTTTTGCAGCATACATAAAAGATATTACACCTACCAATAAAGATTTAGATATATTAGACTTATATATTTTTATTTGACTAATAGGATTTTGGTTAAAGTACTAAAAAAATTAAGATTATAAAAAATCAAATCTATTTGAGGATTATAATTTTAAAATAATAAAATTAGATGGAGATCTTATTTATAATAGGGTATAGATAAGATATTTTTATTATTGATATACAAGGATAGATAATTGAAACCATGCTTAAGAAATTATGGAAGTTTTTAGAATTGAAGTTAGATTATTAAACCATATAGGATCTACCATAAAACATTCTAGAAAGAGCTTAAGGCGGTTATCTAGGTGGAAAATACCATAGAATCTTCTAAAAGGAATTTATGACAGTTATTTAAATGTGATCCATTATCTAGGAACATTCTAAAAAATCTATGATACTAGAACAAAGTATAAATAGGACTAGCCAAGGCATTTTAGGCATCTGGTCAAGTATAACTTTAGAATTTTTTTCTTATTAAAGTTTGATTTTCCACCTTTTTATTCAATTTTGTTTTATTTTATTTTTATTTGCATAATTTTGTTTTTTGTGTCTTATTCTATTTAATTTTGCTCAATTTTGTTCTAGTCTATTTTATCCTACTTTGTGATGAAGTTTTATGTAGTTGTGGATTAAAAAAGTCTTAGACTCTTAAGATAGATTAGTCTTATTTTATTATTATATTAAATATTACTATACTATTATGATCTTTAATTTTTACATCTAAAGAAATAATATCATGGGTAACATCTCCAAAAGATAGCAAACAACCATCTATGACTTCTATATGTATGGATTTAATTTCTTTGATTAATAATATCTCTTATTTTTTGACAAAATCTTTGTTTATAAAAGAGGCAGAGGCTCTTGAATCTAACAAAGCTAAGACTTTGTGATTTTTTGGTATTAAAAAAATTCTATTATAAAACAAGCTAAGGCATTTGAGGAGGAAATAAGACCTTTACTATGAAATATGCAAGATTTCAGCCGCATAGTCCCTATTATAGCTGGAGAAACTTGTTTTCTGACACATTATCTTCTTTAGCAATTATGCTTTTCATTTTATGATTGCGTTATTTTTTTGGGTAATGTTGGACAATGTACTTAGTTTCTCCACAATGTAAGAATAAGCCCTCTTGATGTTGTTGAATTTTTTCCTATTCTATGAGGAATTTAAAGCATATTGTATGAACTTGCATTAGTTCTAGCTTTGTTGAATAAGTTTCTAAAACTTGAGAGTTAACACCATTATTTGACTTTTTCTTCTTTAGCCAAGTCTTTATTCTTGAGATCTTTCAATTAATCAATTATTATATACAATAGCTTGAACAATAAATTATTTCAAAGATTTTGCCTTTGACATTATTAATAACAAATCTATGATATCATCTTTGAATCCATATCAAAATTGATTGATAAGGGCTTCTCATTTCAATCCACATCGCAAGTGAGGTTTTGAAATTCAGCAGCATATAATGTGGTTAACCGT